ACATGGAGGGGATTATAATCATTTTAATGAAACAAGGTGTATGATTTGTTTAATGTAAACCTGATGATCTGTCCTGTAAACTTTCACTTAATTACCAATACAAAGTTTTTTAAAAAAAGAAAGTATATTATGTCCTATTTATAAGTTTATTATAAATCCTGTCCAAGAGAAAAACAATGAATTCAATAAAATCGAGATCATCTTAGAAGATTTTTAACAATCTTTCATTACAAGGTAAACTTGCTGAAATGTGATGAAAACATTGTTGAACAGCCATTTAATTTCTTGCAGTGGGTGAAATTTCTTTTTTCAGTGGGAGGAAAATTTATACAGATGTTATTTGTGGTGATTAGATATACTAATAAAGACTAGCATTACATTTAACATTTACTATTGTAGAATATTTAAATGAAAAGCTTTTGTTTATATAAAAAGATTATTGTGTAACTTAAAAAAAATATTCTGAATAAATAATCTTGATAGGAGAAATTAAATACCTTGAGTCAAATGATAGAAATGGTGTTAACGAGAAAGTGAAGAGAACTTTGCCACGTAGAGCTTTGTTCATTGACCAAAGAGCTTTAAGAAGCTTTAGTTAATAGGAGAAAATGTGACTTTTGAGGGATATTTATTTGAATTGTATCTATTATATCTTGGGTTAGCTTTTCCTGATTTAAAGCCAGCTGATCTCTCTCTCCACTAACTTGAAAACTCAAAAATCTTAAGAATGAGTTAAAACTTGGTGTATTATTTGTTGGTTCATGTAAGTAACTGACTGAAAAAGTTCTGTCTTTCTATATATAGATGCTGTTGCTGATGCAAACAAGTCTCTCAAACTTAATCCAAATAATTCTGCTGCTATGCTGAGGAAAGGGTATGCAATAACTACTCTTCTTGTTGGGTCTGGTGTTTTATTTGTTGAGTGAATTCATTGTAAGCCTTGTGTAAATAGTATAATTCATTTATAGCTGTGATTCGATTTTCACAATAATCTTTTGTTGTTATAAAGTGTTGTTGAGTTGGTTCTGATTTATAGCTACCCTATATAGGATTTACAAGGAGAGGTTGGTAGGTTTGTATCTGACAGGTTTGACTCACCAGCCTTGTGATTAGCAGTCTAATGCTTGTCCTACCATGCCACACCAGAATAATAGTAATCTATATATTTTTATTTGGAGCCCTGGTGTGGCGCTGTGGGTTAATGCGCCAGACTGCAAAGCCGTTTGAACTGCAAGGTCGGTGGTTCAAGCTCACCAGTTGCTCCTTGGAAACCCTATACAGGGTCGC